TCGGTTCGCGCGCCTGCGCTGGCTGCGCGTGTCGACAAAAGGCCCCGCGGCGCCGCAGCACAGCGTATATGTACACACGACTCACGGCCCTGCAAGGGAGAAACCATACACTGCTCTCACTGTATTCGACACTCGTGGGGAAAATCCACTAACCGCCGATTCTGTATTTTTCACTTTAACATTTTTACTATATAATGTAATTTATGTTTAGTTTCTTCCAGATTCAGTAAAGGTTTATATTATCTGTAGTTAATCCCATCTGAAAGTTTGCTTCCATCATTCATTAGTATATAAAAATCATAGTAATGGAATCTTAAATTGCATCATATGAAGTCATTATATATTTCAAAGGGTAACATTATTATTCATGAATTTCTTTCTTGCAAAGGATAAGAAACATAATTGCTTGTAATTTTTTTCTGACAGGTATATTTAAGGTTTGTTAATCATTATCATTGCCATCTACAGGATGCAAATCTGGTCTCTACAGCACAATAATATAATAGAATAGAAATTTTAAATTTTATAAAAGTTACAAGAAATGAATTTGATAAAAAAGCATTCGAAATGTTTCTAACAAGAAAATTTGCTGGGAAATTTTTGGGCTCTATCTACAACTTTAATTTCACGTAGCATTCTTTTCACCATAGTACTATTTTTCTGCACACTATTTTTCTGCACACCATATCGAAACAAATGACGGAAGTTAGTAAAAAGTAATTTTCTTTTGGCTGTCCAGCATTATTTCAAATAAAAAATGTTTCTTTAGAAGATACCCTCTATCTGTGAGAAGAACTGGAATTCAGAGCTACGAAGCATCCTCTCTGCCGTAATTTCCATATATAAATATTCTCGTGAGAGATTTACGAGAGGGGCATTAGTATTTACAATTCATGTGTGGGGGCGACGGAATGGAGCGACTCACAAGTTTGGTGAGATTACGCTATATGCTGCACATGATCTCTCCTAATGTGATTTGATCATGTTGTGCTCAGCAAACAAAAATCTTTAAACCAGTTCAAAATTCTACCGGCTCTATAGTTTCTGTTAGAAATTTCATCTCTTAAAATTTCATATCTTAAACAGAAATCATTTGATTAATCCGTTTAATACTTTTTGTTCTTTCTCTTTCTGTCATCTTCCTTTCTTTTTTGAACCATCGTTCAATCAATGAGCCATAATTCTAAAGAAGTGTCAGGGCACTTCTTCACGTTTGGGGCTACAAGACTATGGTTCCCCTTCACGTTAAATAATCAAGTGCTAATTAACCAGTGAATCTTATTTCTGTCATTCCTTCCTTTCGACCTTTACTTCAACGAAAATACCAATGGTTTCGGCTGATGCAAAGACAATTATTAGTAACTCACTATTTATTATCAAGTAAAATAACATTTCGTTGATTATATGTGAAAAAAACAACAGTTTCTCCCATTAATATAGGGACACTAATGAACAATTGTTTACTACAGGAGTGGGGATAAAAGCTTCTCTTTTATCTTGACATTATTCTTTTTTTTTCAGGAATGCTAGGGTGTCAGTCTCAATTCAAATCTTCAATCTCTCTCTGAAAGATTTCAATTCGGAAGTGAAAAAAGTCTAAAAAATCGCATCATCCTGAAACCGCTCCACAAATTCGGTATTCAGCGAGTAGTGAGCGACTGGTCACCGAGTCCCGAGTAGAGTGGATGGGTTGCTTGCCGTTTGCAGAGCGCGGAACATTCGGTACTCGTGCGCCCCACCGCGTGCCATCCTTTCGGACACATCAAAGGAAGCGCACATTTGCCGAACACATCACCTACTCGGGACTGCGGGAGCAGTAGTTCACTACTCGTCGAATGCCGAATGTGTGGAGCCTCGTCCGCGCTGCGCCAGGACGCTCTAAACAGGGCGCCGCGACGCCCGCCGGGAAGTCGCCTTCTCGCCAATTGCGACAAGCGTGCGCCTCCCGAAGCAAACATTGCCTTCCGCTCCACCACACGCCCCGCCACGCCTCCCCTCGTCCCATCCGCTCCTATCCTCCCCTATTCCCCCGCTCCTGTCCCGTCCCGCCCGCCCCGCCCCGATTCCCCCCTCCCCGCGCCTCCCCGCCGCCCCGCCCAGCTCTGCTCCGCCCAGCTCCGCCCCGCCACGCCCCACCCGTTCCCTTCCCGCCTCGCTCAGCCCCGCTCAGCCACCTCTCAGCCCCGCTCCGCCCCGCTCCGCCCCGCTCGCCCCGCTTCCGCCCGCTCCCGCCCCGGCTCCCCCCCGCTCCGCCCCGCTCCGCCCCGCTCGCCCCGCCCGCCACCACCCCGCCTCGCCCCGCCTCGCTCCGCCCCGCCTCCGCCCTCACCCTCCCCGTCCCGCCCCGCTCCGCCCCACCCCACCGCCTTCTCTGGTTCCCGCCGCCCCCGTTCGGTGCTCGCATGGCGCCCCCGCGCGCACGGCGGTGCTGCTGTAAATCCGATACCATGGCAAGCAGCCACGCCCTCTGGCCCGTCCTCCGCCCGCCGTCCGTGTAATTGGCCGTAAGCGGCCGCCCTTGCGTGGCGCCCCCGCCCCCCCCCCCCGCCAACATCGCCCCCTCTTCTGCTCCCAGCTCTCGCTGCGGACGGCGAAAGCGGCGCGCTGCGACCGTTGCGCTATTCGCCGCCCGCCGCCCGGCCCTGGCTCGAAGTCAAGAAGGCGATCTGAGATTTTACGATCACTTCCTTGTTAATAAAAGCACTGGCATCGAGCGGAACATTACCAACTAATGCATCATTCGAAGCGCACGCCAGTGTACTTAAAAGTGATTGAATTGTTACATTATGTGTCAGTCGTACATGGAGAGCTTCTTCGTAGCTTTCTGTTCTCGAGTGGGAGAAGTTTACGATCGTACGAGGGGGAAGTTGCAACACTGATTCAATTTATGAAGTGTTGATCTCAGTACCCAGGTGACTCAGGGGATTGCATCAAGCGGAGGTGTTTGCTTCAACTCTTGCTCAAGGAATTGCGATGTTCTTCACTTATATCTGACATCACAGAAAATAGTACTTCAATAAGTCTGTAGTTGACTCATTAACGTCATTAGAATTTCAAACTGTTTCTTATCACGATTTTTTGGAAACGTTGTCGCTGGAATAGCTGCTACAAACGTGCAGTCTATAATGATCGATAACATTACAAATGCATTCGCTCACCTGTTTTCAGACACGTCATGTACGCTAATATTCAGTAAAAGGCATCAAAATGTCTATGCGTATTGACTTTTCTAATTCCTTGACAAGGATTTGAAAAAAAACTATTACATCTGTAAAATATATCGCAAAACCACTATCACATGTTTTACTCAATTACGAAATAGCGTTCTATAATTGCTATTTCGACATTTTTCCTTTCTATAGGCAGCATGTTTCAACTGTCACCGTATTTAACGGAATAATATCTTGTTACTTCTTTTTAAAAGATTCAGTAACATGTTATAGTAATTAGTACTTATCCTTATTACAAATATATTCACCCATAATTCATTACGAAATGTCTTTCCCAAATTTAGGAAGACGCGATTCCTTAAATTTAGAGGGACAAAATGCGTAAGCAAAATTTACACGAAACAATACCCAATAAAAATACAATATTTATTAAATATTTCATTAAATTATTATATTTTTCACGCGCAGTATTTAATTTAGGCAGTATTTTTTTGTCACTATGAACATTTATTCTTTCCATTATTACGAATGTGAGGTATTGAAGAAGGGTTCACTTCAAAATCTAACCGAAAATCTATTATACAAATTGATGCTTTGTGCTATGATGAAAATTGATGATTTTAGTGATTTCGTCAAACTTCAATCCCAGTTTTTGACGTGAATATTGCTCCAAATCCTAGTATATGACAAATTGGGTTAGGAAAATAGAAAGTAATATTTTTATTTTTTTAAATTACTTATGTTTCACCGGTCTCAATGGTCGATGTGTGGCTAAAATCTCCTGCCTACTCAGCGCCTCGATACGAAGAGTCTTGCGTTGGAATCACGCCCTAGGTGTAGATGTTTGATCCTTGTCGTGTGTGTGTGTGTGTGTGTGTGTGTGTGCACGCATGTGTTAGTGGCATGGATGACTTTGCGATTCCAGATTCGAAGAGCCCGCAAATGTGTCTAATGTATGAGTTGTTCAAGTCGAGGAGTGGAGGGTAAACGGCTTCAGGTGGAAAACTCATTAACAAGCGCTATTATTTCTCATAATACTTTTTAATTTATCATATAAGAATGATTCTCAGGGAGACGACACAACAGAAATCTCAACGAAGCCGTGGCCGTGTCCACACAGTGTTTATGATGATGATAATTATGATATGATGATAATATGAGTATGTAAGTAATGATAATTAAGGTGGAGGAGATGACGGATATATGGCAGTAACTCGCGGAAATATGCCACGTATCCAGCTTTTGTTGTTGTTTTTTGTCGTTTTTTAACTGCGAGATCACATAGCGACCACTTTAACATTTAACTTTGGGTTAATAGTGGGAGAATACATACTAACACTAAACACACATATCCATGCCCGCGGCTGGATTCCAACCAGCAACCCTTCAAGCCAAGGCAGCTAGTTCCCTCCAGCCTTTGTGACCTCGGCTATCCAGGCCAGCGCGAACCCGATTTGTTCACCACAATTTCTATTTGAAACGGGCAGAGATCTAATCCCGGTCCCAGCCGTTAAACACTGGCTTTAACACAGAATTAAACATTATTGATATAAAGGGCAATTGAAAACCAGCACATCTCTCATTCCACAACAATTTTTCTATCATCCAAACAGTGCTCGCGTACGGACTCGCAGACTCGGATGTACGTAAAAAGCGTGACCAGTCCCCCTAGACCAACGAACTTCCCATCGTTATTACAATTACCCGTGAAAAAACAAACGAACAAAGGTTAATAAAACAAAGAGCCACCTAATGACGCCATTCGTCACGTCTACTTTGTGCTGATAGCCGTTTCACGCGCTGAC